GGGTTGTACCCTCTAAAAGCATGCACCCATCTAACCTATAACAACAAATATATATGAGTTGACAATTCCATGGATCTTACAGGCCCTGACAGGCTTCACTCCTGTGCAAGCCTACCAATCTGTGATTGCTTTTGAGGAAGAGCTGACAGGTCCTCACAGGCTTCACTGCTGTGCTCATCCTTGCCCCAACGGATTTAATTTGCTGTGAGCGAGCTGGTACTGCTGCAGTGCTACAGCTGATGATGATGGTGATGACATGGGCATGGGTGCTGTGGCATGTGTCGCATGGGGCCTACCGGGTATCTCGGTTGTGCTGGCACAGGCTGGCTGCATCAGCGTTACCTTGCTGCATGCTGCTACTGACGCTGCTACTGCTGCCCTGCTAATGCTCCCCTGCTAGTGTTGTCCTGCTACTGCTGCCCTGCTAATGCTCCCTGCTAGTGCTGTCCTGCTACTGCTGCTGGTGGAACGATGACTGTTGCTGGTACACCTGCTGCTGCATCTGCTGCATGGGGCCTAACGGGTATCCCTGTAGAGCTGATCCTTGCTGCATTGGCCCTTGGCAGTACCCTCAGAAGCATAGGCAGCTGATGACGGGAGTGGCGCTGCTGGTGGCGCTGCTGCCACGGCTGCTTGTGCCACAGCTGCGTGTGCTCCTGGCGCCATCCCTCCCCAGCCCAGCCCTGAAAACGGCCCGGTATTGTTGAGAGCAGCCCCTAGTGATGCCATGTTGGGGAATGGTGCCTGTGGGGAAGGGGAATGGGAGAGATGAGGGGAAGGAGTGGGGGGAGAGGGGGATTGGCCTCTTAGAATGGCATTGGGAGCAGCAGCGCCTAGTGATGCCATGTTGGGGAAAGGTGCGTGAGGAAAAGGGGAATGGGAGAGATGAGGGGGAGATAAACGGGGCGGACCGGGAATTGGACTGCTAGAGTGGCATTGGGAGCAGCGACTAGTGATGCCCTGCTGGGGAAAGGTGCCTGTGGCGGAGGGGGACAAGACAGAGTATCTGAGACTTGCCGCCAGGAGAAAAAAAACCAGGAAAAAAAACAAAGCAAGAAAACAAAAGACAAAAAAAAACCCCAAAAAAGGGGAAAAACAGCTTTACTGGGTGAGGGAAACCTACCAGTCCTGGAGACCCTAGAGCAGATGGCCCAACCCCAGGGCTTCCCATGCCGCCTGCAGGGCTCCACAAGGCATGTCCCGGGCTTCCCATGGCTCCTCCAGGGCTTCGGCCTGTGTTCCCAGGGCTCCCCATGGGGGTTCCCAGGGCTCCCCATGGGGTTCCCAGGGCTTCCCATGACACTACCCGCGCTCCAGTTGGCATTTCCTTGACTTCCCATGGCTCCTCCAGGGCTTCTGCCTACACTTCCAGAACTTTGCCATAACACCACTAGGACTCCAGACTGCATTTCCTGGGCTCCCCATAGCACCCCTGGGCTCCCCATAGCACCCCCTGGGCTCCCCATAGCACCTCCTGGGCTTCTGACAGGATTTCCGGGGCTCCCCATGGGGTTTCCGAGATTACTCAGGGCACTGCCATTGCCAGGGCGATGAAAGCTCCTTGTAGGCCGGGCGAGAGAGCAAAGGGGTTGCCTGCGCCGATCGAGGCTCCCGCTGCCATTGAAACGTCTGGTTGTGACTGTAATGGGAGGGGACTGGTAATGGTGGGGCTGCAAGGGAGGGAAGGGCTGTGACTGTATTGGGGGAGAAGGGTTTGTGACTGTGAGGGAGGGAAGGGTTGTGAGGGCATGGGAGGGACTGTTGAGGGGAGAAAGCCTGTGCGTAACCCCCAGGTGCCTGGAATCCCTGCCTCTGAGGCTGAATCGAGGCTTGATTCTGCCCCTGCCCATATGGCTGCATCATTGATGGTGGCTGGCCCTGCCCATGCGCCTGTGAGGGAGGGAAGGGTTGCGAATGCATGGGAGGCGACTGCACTGGGGGAAAAGGCCTGCGCATAACTGCCCTGTGCATAACCTCCTGCACCTTGGAACCCCCGCCTCTGAGCCTCAATCGTCAGTTGAGTCTGCTCCTGCCCTTGTGCCTGCATCATTGATTGCAGCTGCCCTGCCATATGCGTGTTGGGTCTGACCCTGCCCATGCATCTGCATCTGTGGCTGCCCTTGCCCATATGCCTGTGACATTGATTGCAGCTTCCCCTGCCCATATGCCTCTTGGGTCTGACCCTGCCCATAGCCCATGGACCCATATCCTGCACCCACAGAGGGGGCATATCCAGCGATAGACGTCTGAGGCTGGCCAGAAAAAACCTGGGGATTGATCGGGCATGACCTGGGGCTGTGGGGTGTAACCAGAGGTGTAACCACCTGCTGTGACTGCAGGCATTGTGGGTGCAGGCACAGCTGGTGCGGGCATTGCTGGTGCAGGCATAGCTGGCATGGGGCTGTCATCAAACTGAGCCCAGGAGGCAAACCCATTGGCAATGCTGCTGCTGCCGCTGCTCTGCGCTTCCACTTGTGCCCCAGCTGCTGCTGCTGCTGCTGCTGCTGCTTCCTCTCGAGCCACCTGTTCTCGCTGCTCCCCTGCTGCTGCTCCCACCCCTGCAGCCCGCTGCTCACCAGTTGCTGCTCCTTCCCTTCCTACTCCAGCCTCGCCTTGCTCCTGGAGCTGCCACTGCTTGGGCTCGGGCACAGGCGCAGCAGGGGGGAGAGTGAGGCTATCCCCATCCCCTTCGTCCGAAAAGTCTATCAGGTTGCCGAGAGAAACCAAGGGCGCAGACGCGGGGGCAGCTGACGCTGATGCGGGTGCAGTGGTGCCGCTGGTGCAGGTGCAGGGGCAGCGGGTGCTGACGTTGGCATATGAGGGGCTGTGGCAGGGGCGGCAGCAGGTGGGGAGGCAGGGACAGAGGCCGGAGCAGAGGGAGGAGAGGGAGCAGCGGGAGCAGAGGGAGCAGAGGGAGAAGCAGAGGGGGGAGAAGCAGGGCCAGCAGAGGGGGAGGAGGCATTCCGATACACATGTGCATTCCCCCTTCCTGGTTCGCTGTGGTACACCCTCAGCTCCACCTCATCTCCCAGCAGGTCAGTCACAGCCCGCACAGGGGCGTCTACCGCATCCACAGTGCTACTAGTGCTAGGGAATTTACTCCTGCTCGTGGAGCTGCTGCTGCCGCCAGGGAACCTAGGAGCGGTAGTGCTGGTGCTGGTCGTGGTGGTGGTGCTCGAAAGAACAGGGGACGCGCGGGGCGGTAGAGGGGGCTGATGCGGCCGCTGCTGCTGCTGCTGCTGCTGCTGCTGCTGCTGCTGCTGCTGCTGGGGCTGCTGCTGAGGCTGCTGCTGCTGCTCGTGCTGGGCAGGGGAGAAGGAAGGGGGGGCGCGGGCGCTGCTGCTTCGTTGGAGATCGGATGGCTGGGGGAAGGAGGCGGAGGCAGAGCCGTCCATAGAGTGAGCTCGACCCAAAGGGGAGCCTGGGGGAGGGCGAAACAAAAAGGGCAAGGACTTCTCGGATGAATCGCCTCATATGCACATGCGTATCCCAGCAAGGGGCATGCACTGCCATCAAATAATCGTCCACAACACATCTCTTTCTGATCCAACCATCATCATCATCATCATCATCATCATCATCATCATCATCATCATCATCATCATCATCATCATCATCATCATCATCATCATCATCATCATCATCATCATCATCATCATCATCATCATCATCATCATCATCATCATCATCATCATCATCATCATCATCATCATCATCATCATCATCATCATCATCATCATCATCATCATCATCATCATCCCTACATACCTCGCCTGAACAACGCCCAACACATCGCCTCCCCACAAATACTGCTCGGATCGGATCGGATGAACTCTCGTGCATGAACTCCCTCACACGTGCATGCGGGTGGGTGGCATGTGTAGCCTACATAATCATCATCAACCCTACCTACCTCCCGTGACCGGCGCCCAACATATCGCCTCTCCAAAAACACTGCTCGAATGAACTCCCTCACAGCCTGAGGGTCGCTGGAGGTATGGGTGGGAGGGTGATTGGGGGGGTGGGTGATTGGGAAAGGGTCAGGGACGATTTTTTTAGGTATCGGGTGAGTGGAAGGGTGGGTAAGTGGGAGAGAGGGAGCCAGGGAGGGGAAAATGGGGACGCGGGGCGAAGGTGAGCCAAGAGCAACGCACAGAAAGGAGGTGACTTTTGAGTCGACTCAAAAGTCACGAAGGTGAGTCAAGAGCAACGCACAGAAAGACGCGAGGACGAGAAACGGGACACGACCTCCAAACATTCCGATCCCCCACAAATCACAGGACATACAGAGGTACAGCACTCAAAGGAACATTCAAAACGATAGCTCACTTGCTGCTGGGCGGCACTCGACCGGCCCCTGGGAGGAAATACTCTCGAGCTCGCTGCAACGCCACAAGAGGCAAGAGTGAGGGAGAAGGCAAGAGAGGAGAGGGGAGAGAGTACGAAAAGAATGGAGAGAAAACTTGGCCATTGACCGCGGACTTGATGATGCGATGGCTCGACTCCCATCTGGTTACCACCGCATCTAGTTACCAGCTCTCACCTGGTTGCCTCCCTGCTGCAGCACCGCCACCTCTTCCGGTTCGAACGTAGCCATTGACGACACTGACTTGATGCGATGGCTGAACTCCCACCCGGTTACCACCTATCTGGTTACCACATCTCACCTGGTTACCCTTGGTTACCAGCCCTCACCTGGTTGCCTCCCTGCTGCAGCGCCGCCACCTCCTCAGGTGTGAACTTGGCCATCGACACCGACTTGATGCGATGGCTGAACTCGCGGCTGCAAAAAGGGGGGGAATAAGTGAGGGATCCTTAGCTTTGGTAATTCGGAAAATAGTCTAGTTTTGGGCCGCCTGAAAACTGATCTACCAGCTGCAAAGAGAGGGCGTGCTGTTTCCTTAGCGTTTAGGAAGTGAGGGATGTGACAGAGGGGAGGGGAGAGCTGAAGGTGGGGGAAAGACGAGAGGGGTGTAATAAATAAATGCACAGAGGAAATAGAAAGGGGTAAAGAACGACAGGAAAGGGGATGTGCGTGATAACGGGGAACGGAGCACTCAACTGGACGCCGCTGCATGATGGGCAGACGAAGATGGCGTAGTTGGTGCACACGTACTGCGGTCCCTGTGGCGTTGGAGAGAAAGGAGGAGAGACTGCAAGCATCAGATGGTGTACACGTGGTATGTGTCATGAGTTGAGTGCGATGTTCAGGGAACGAGCAGCCACCAGGGAAGGGGAGACAAGAGAAGAGAGGAGAAACGTCAGGCAAGCTGATATACCCGTTATAAACATTACAACGCGAATGGTAGAGAGACCGTCGAGAAAAAAATAACGGCAGAGCTATCATTATCATCGAAGGACGGAAACTGATGACGATTGGGGGATGTGACTCTTGAATCGGCTCAAAAGTCGCGACATTGAGTCGATGGAAGGTCATAGACGAGTGGACACAAGTCGAGCAACCTATGAAGAGGACCTTGCTCGAGCGACGGTAAGGCAAGGAAAGGCAAGAAGGTGTTACCAGGCTGCTGCAATTGAAGCATTTTCGGTTTTCCGGGAGTTTCATCAGGCCTCGAATGATCTTCTCGTGCTTCTCGTCCTCCCTCATCGCGACGGCTATGCTTCTTATTGTAACTTGACGGTTATATCGTTGCGACGACAAGGCGGCTGATCTAGGTTGTCTTTGTTGATGTAAACAGGCAAGAATAAAATAGTGGCGAGGCGAAGAGACTTCTCGAACTGAGACGAAGCCTAGAGACAGCAGGGAACTGAGGAGCTTGAAGGTTGGAGAAGTGGTTTGATTTTGAAGGAAGAACTGTTTGGGGGAAGGGCACTGTTCCGCGACAACCTCTATAGTTGGTTCACATGAATGTGCTGGGGAGAGTACGCGATTGTATGAAGGTTTCTATGGATGTTTGATAACCCTACTAGTTCTTTGTTCTTTGTACTAGAGTAGCTCATCTTAGTTCATGTTGAAGTGTACAGAATGTACTCGTCAAAGTATAATGCTGGACCGCAAGCAACGTGGCGCCGAAGGAATCCAGCGCAGCATCGAAGGCAGCACAGCTCGATGGCGAGGGCTGCCGTGGCGAGGTTTTAACGATCGGCGAAATTGCGCTCTGCGTCCAACCCTTTCATCGACGGCACTTGCTGGCGAGACGAGCGGTCCCCGCTTTTGCGAAGATACTCCTAGCGAAAGCTCGTCAATGAGACCGCCACCGCGAAGCCTACTTCAGGCGACGATCTGCGAATTGTGAGAACTTCGCGACTTGTTCGCCACAAAAGGTGCTGAATTGTCAAATCACGCAGCATCATAAATCATGGGGGCAATCAAATCACCTCCTTCCCCGCTGATTGTATTCTCGCAAATTAGTTAGCAGAATAGAATTAAGACCATCCAGCTCGACTATTATCGCGGCTGGTGCTAAATACGCGACGCGACGCTATGTCAGCCAGCTCTGCGCGCCGATGGGGCCTCGATAAGCTATCAGTACGCGGGAAGGTCGCTCTGGTGACGGGCGCCTCGTCCGGAATCGGCCACGATCTCGCGCTCTTCCTCGTGGCACGTGGATGCCAAGTGGTCGCCGCAGCTCGGCGCGTGGACCGGCTGGCGCAGCTGTGCGCGGAGGCGGAAGAAATGCGGAGAGAGACGGAGATGATCCGCGGAGATGGGGAAGGAATGGGCGCCGGGGAGACGGTCTTTGACTTGAATCGGAGGGGAGATGAGGCGCTGAGAAACGAAGCGCCAGGGCAGATGCGCGCTGTGGCGGTGGACGCGTCTTGTGACTGTATCGGAACAGCTTCTAACGTAACAGCTCAAACCGCGCTTGGGGATGAGATGCCGGGGCGCATGCGCGCAGTGGCGATGGATGTGGCGGCGGACGAGGCGGCGGTAGACGCGGCGGTGGAGGCGGCGTGGGACGCGTTCGGGCGGATAGACGTGCTGGTGAACAACGCGGGGTTCCGAGGTGAGGGGAGTTGACTCTGGTTGACTCTTTTTTACTTGTGCTGACTTTCTTTCCTTCTGGTTTGGAGAGTATGGGATGCTGATAGGCGTGCTGGTGAACAACGCGGGGTTCCGAGGTGAGCAGGGTGCAACGTCTGACGTTGACTTGCCTTGACTTTGGCTGACTCTGATTTTGACATGTGCTGAAATTTCGCAGGGAAAAAGGTCGACGCGATTGACATCAGCCAATCAGAGTTCGACACGTCATTCCACACCAACGTCCGAGGCGCCTGGCTCGTTTCCAAGGCTGTGGTTCGGCGCCTGCTGGGGAGGAATGGCGGGGGAACGCGAGGGGGGTTCCGCAGTGAAGCAGGGAAGGAAGGAGGCGAGGCGGGGGAAGGAACAGAGGGGCAGAATGAGACGGTTGGTGAAGGGGGTAATAACGGAGACTCTGGCACGATTTTGAGTGTAATCAACATCGCGTCTACTGCTGGTATCCCCGGAGCCATACTCCCCGGCGGTGCGGCCTACTCCTCCTCCAAGGCGGCTCTCATCCGCCTCACTGTGGTGAGTGGGGGAAGTGGAAGGGCAAGGGAAGAGGGGGAGGGAAGATACTCCTGGGGGAGCATTCTCCTCGGCGGTGCTGCCTACTCCTCGTCCAAGGCTGCTCTCATCCGCCTCACTGTGGTGCGTGGGGTAACTAGGAGGGGACGTGAGGGTGACTAGGAGGGGACGTGAGGTGACTAGGAGGGGACGTGAGGTGACTAGGAGGGGACGTGAGGTGACTAGGAGGGGACGTGAGGTGACTAGGAGGGGACGTGAGGTGACTAGGAGGGGACGTGAGGTGACTAGGAGGGGACGTGAGGTGACTAGGAGGGACGTGAGGTGAGGGGACGTGCTGGGGCATGGGAGAACTGGATGTGCGCAGAAGGCAGGGGTGCTGCGTACTCCTCTTCCAAAGCGCTGAATAAAATATCACAACTGCCTATGTGTGTTTGTGTCTGTGTGTGTGTCTCAGTGTGCGTGTGTTTGTTGACACATGTGCCAATGGGCCATGTATCAATGGGCCATGTATCAATGGGCCATGTGTCAATGGGCCATGTATCAATGGGCCATGTGTCAATGGGCCATGTGTCAATGGGCCATGTATCAATGAGCCATGTTTCAATGGGCCATGTATCAATGAGCCATGTATCAATGGGCCATGTGTCAATGGGCCATGTATCAATGGGCCATGTATCAATGGGCCATGTATTCAATGGGCCATGTATCAATGGGCCATGTGTCAATGGGCCATGTGTCAATGGGCCATGTATCAATGGGCCATGTATCAATGGGCCATGTATTCAATGGGCCATGTATCAATGGGCCATGTGTCAATGGGCCATGTGTCAATGGGCCATGTGTCAATGGGCCATGTATCAATGGGCCATGTGTCAATGGGCCATGTATCAATGGCCATGTGTCAATGGGCCATGTATCAATGGGCCACGTATCAATGGGCCATGTATCAATGGGCCATGTATTCAATGGGCCATGTATTCAGTGGGCCATGTATCAATGGGGCATGTATCAATGGGCCATGTATCAATGGGGCCATGTATCAATGGGCCATGTATCAATGGGCCATGTGTCAATGGGCCATGTGTCAATGGGCCATGTGGCAATGGGCCATGTATCAATGGGCCATGTATTCAATGGGCCATGTATCAATGGGCCGTGGATCAATGGGCCATGTATCAATGGGCCATGTATCAATGGGCCATGTATCAATGGGCCATGTATCAATGGGCCATGTGTCAATGGGCCATGTATCAATGGGCCATGTGTCAATGGGCCATGTATCAATGGGCCATGTGTCAATGGGCCATGTATCAATGGGCCATGTATCAATGGGCCATGTGTCAATGGGCCATGTATCAATGGGCCATGTGTCAATGGCCATGTATCAATGGGCCATGTATCAATGGGCCATGTATCAATGGGCCATGTATCAATGGGCCATGTATTTAATGGGCCATGTATTCAATGGGCCATGTATTCAATGGGCCATGTATTCAATGGGCCATGTATCAATGGGCCATGTATTCAATGGGCCATGTATCAATGGGCCATGTATCAATGGGCCATGTATCAATGGGCCATGTGTCAATGGGCCATGTATCAATGGGCCATGTATCAATGGGCCATGTATCAATGGGCCATGTGTCAATGGGCCATGTATCAATGGGCCATGTGTCAATGGGCCATGTATCAATGGGCCATGTATCAACGGGCCATGTATCAATGGGCCATGTATCAATGGGCCATGTATCAATGGGCCATGTATCAATGGGCCATGTATTCAATGGGCCATGTATCAATGGGCCATGTGTCAATGGGCCATGTGTCAATGGGCCATGTATCAATGGGCCATGTGTCAATGGGCCATGTGTCAATGGGCCATGTATCAATGGGCCATGTGTCAATGGGCCATGTGTCAATGGGCCATGTGTCAATGGGCCATGTATCAATGGGCCATGTATCAATGGGCCATGTATTCAATGGGCCATGTATTCAATGGGCCATGTATTCAATGGGCCATGTATTCAATGGGCCATGTATTCAATGGGCCATGTATCAATGGGCCATGTATCAATGGGCCATGTGTCAATGGGCCATGTATCAATGGGCCATGTATCAATGGGCCATGTGTCAATGGGCCATGTATCAATGAGCCATGTTTCAATGGGCCATGTATCAATGAGCCATGTATCAATGGGCCATGTGTCAATGGGCCATGTATCAATGGGCCATGTATCAATGGGCCATGTATCAATGGGCCATGTATCAACGGGCCATGTATCAACGGGCCATGTATCAATGGGCCATGTATCAATGGGCCATGTATTCAATGGGCCATGTATCAATGGGCCATGTGTCAATGGGCATGTTCAATGGGCCATGTGTCAATGGGCATGGTCAATGGGCCATGTGTCAATGGGCCATGTATCAATGGGCCATGTGTCAATGGGCCATGTATCAATGGGCCACGTATCAATGGGCCATGTATCAATGGGCCATGTATTCAATGGGCCATGTATTCAGTGGGCCATGTATCAATGGGGCATGTATCAATGGGCCATGTATCAATGGGCCATGTATCAATGGGCCATGTATCAATGGGCCATGTGTCAATGGGCCATGTGTCAATGGGCCATGTGGCAATGGGCCATGTATCAATGGGCCATGTATTCAATGGGCCATGTATCAATGGGCCGTGGATCAATGGGCCATGTATCAATGGGCCATGTATCAATGGGCCATGTATCAATGGGCCATGTATCAATGGGCCATGTGTCAATGGGCCATGTGTCAATGGGCCATGTGTCAATGGGCCATGTGTCAATGGGCCATGTATCAATGGGCCATGTATCAATGAGCCATGTATCAATTGGCCATGTATCAATGGGCCATGTGTCAATGGGCCATGTATCAATGGGCCATGTATCAATGGGCCATGTGTCAATGGGCCATGTATCAATGGGCCATGTATCAATGGGCCATGTATCAATGGGCCATGTATCAATGGGCCATGTATCAATGGGCCATGTATCAATGGGCCATGTATCAATGGGCCATGTATCAATGGGCAATGTGTCAATGGGCCATGTGTAAATGGGCCATGTATCAATGGGCCATGTGTCAATGGGCCATGTATCAATGGGCCATGTGTCAATGGGCCATGTATCAATGGGCCATGTATCAATGGGCCATGTATCAATGGGCCATGTATCAATGGGCCATGTATTCAATGGGCCATGTATTCAATGGGCCATGTATTCAATGGGCCATGTATTCAAATGGGCCATGT